GTCTTTACAAAATCTGTACTGAGAAATCTAATAGTATCTCAAACTCAACGTGTTCAAACCTAAACACCAGATCTTCCTCACATGGAGGTTACCGCTCATGGGTTTCTTCTCAGGTAAATTGTGACTCTCTGTATCACCTGTCTCTCTAATTCGGGGGCAGCAGATTGCCCTGTGACTTTACTTCTCTGATGTATCTAATAAGAGTTGGTGATTTTTTAGCTTGTTCATATTTTTAGAGCAGAGTGGCAAATTCTAAGTTCCTTACCTGCTGGACCAAAAACTGGAAGCCTTTACTGATTCTTTAAAGATTTAAAACTTGCCTGAGAAACCATCCTGTTAGATTTTTTTTTAATGTTTATGTCGTCGCATTTATTTAAACTTTTTCTTTATGATTTGCACTGCCAGCAACATATTTTAAAAGACCTACCCCACTCCAAGATTACTTAATATTTGTTTTCATTTTATCTCATTCTTTTATGATTTTTGTCTTCTTCATATTTTAATAAACCTGGAGTTTATTAAGTCATATGGGATAAGAAAGATATCTAACCTCATTTTCCAATTGCCTATTATTTAATGATCTTATAAATAATCCAATCTTTCCTGTAGTTTTGAATTTTTCCTTTATAATATATTAAATTATCATAGGTATTTTCTGTGTTTCTATTTTGTTCTGCTTATCTGCTACATATTCCACAGATATATAAGTTTCTAGTTTATTTTGATATTATATATTTGTATTTGGCTGTGCAGGTTTCACTCCCAATCCCCAACCTCAGTTATTCATTTTGAAACTTTGGCTGATTTTACCACCTTAATCTTCCTAATAAATTTTGGAATACACTTTAACAATTCTTCTACTGTAATTGCATTCAGCTGATAGATTATTTCATGAGTGATGGATATGTTGAATCAAATCAACTATTACATAAAATTTAAGTTGCTTGCATTCCTACTCACACTGGCTTAAGACATTGATGTGGACTAATGGCCCTTGAAAATACAGCAGTGAGGTTGGCTTTCCACGCAGTTCAAACAGGGCACGGCTCAGTTTCCCCATGATGATTTCGGCTCTAGCCTCTCTTGTGTGCTGTTTTCCTTCATTCACACGACAGCTGCCAGCAGCAACTTCAAATATGTACTTTCCTGGTACGTCCACAAAGAAGAAAACACACTATTCCTCACAATACCTAACAAAAGTCCCAAGCTTTGTCCAATTGGACCACCATGATTGAGACCACCGTGAGCTAGTAGCTATGATGGGAAAATGTGGTTACTGACTGGTACACAATCCCGCCAGAGCCTACCCTTGGATCTGGGATGGAATCATTCCAAGTCAAACCAGTAAGCTGCTACAAAACAGGGGGAATTAAAATAAATGTTGGGATTAACCATGGTGTCCACTACCTTTAGCCCAATGAAAACTTATAACTTAAAAATGTCGCCCAGAATTTTCAATGCTTTTATGTCATAGCAACACACACCTTTTAAAAACATGCACAAACTCACTTATGCAGGTGTGTACATACATGTGCACAATCTGTGTATTCTTACAAAGCCTAATAACTGGAACCAAGAGGGGAAATGGTCATATCAAAATAATGGCAGATACTGGACAAACTAGAAATCCGGTTAATATAACAGTTGAACATCTAATTCATTGTGCTGGTTAGGACAGTACATTTGCCTGCCTCACTGTCCGCCAGCCAGGCTGCTGATGCCCACCACCTCCTTATTTCTTCAATAGCCCATTTACTCTCTTTCTCCTCTATGAAGTTACTCCTCAAGCTTCATTCAGTTTCTTCCTTTTCTTTAGTCGTCACCCAAGGATATTTTTTCCATTGCTTTTCAGAGAAAGAGAGGGACATCACTGTGAGAGAGACACACTGATTGGTTGCCCCCTGCATGCAGCCGGACCAGGGTCAGGAGTGAAGCCTGCAACCGAGACACGTGCCCTTGGCCAAGATTGAACCCGGGACCCTTCAGTCCATGGCCAGCGCTCTGACCACGGAGCCAAACCAGCTAGGGCTCGTTCCATTGCCTTGATGCTTCCTCACTCACGGCCAGCGTATTTATTAAAAAGTCTCTTAGTCGATATGTGCATGTATTTGTTTAGGACACATGTGAATATGTTGCCTCCTCTAAATGTTTCAATCTTTCTTAAAGGTGAAGCCACATTCTATCTAGCCTGTCTGTTGAACCCCCTAGAGAGGCGCTTAGCAGAGATCACTGTGTATTAAGGCTTAGCCAGTAATTATTCGGCAAGTAAAACATATCATTAATTTTATAAAATTTATTCTGTATAATTATATGTGGCAAGCACGCTATTTAAAAAGGATTCGTGAACTTATATTCCTCCAAAGGAGATTCCTACTGCCCCCGTTATATGTCTTGCCACTCTCAACTACATTGTGTTCATCTTTCATTCAGCTCAGTTGAATAATCATTTATTTAACAGCTACTATGTGACCAGGTACACTAGGTGCTAAGGATACACAAATGGTGATAATAAATTACTTTGTCTTCAAGGACCTAGAGTGTAGTCACTTAATATCCCTTCGCGGAACGTCCTCCCCCCCCCCACTTTCTGTCTTGTTCTCATCCTGTTTCTCCCTTTGATGCGATGTTTATTCATCTTATTTTCTACTTAATCGTCAGTAATATTAATGGAGCCGTGAATCTCATCTTTTTTGGAGAGTCCGGGCTGTACGAAGGAAGAGCAGAAATTGAGCTCAGCTTAACAGGCAGGCAGGAAAGCGGGTTGTGGAGGATGGATGGGGGAAGGGAGGCGCAACAGCTGCTGAGGCAAACAC